GCCTGAGAGAAGAAGTATGTCGCATAAGAGATGAGAAGGACAAGACAGCTTTCGATCTTGGGGAACCGCCTGATGTAAGTGAACTTGAGCATGAGAGCGGTACCGACACCAACAACAACACCAATGGCCAAACTGCTGGAGAAGAGGAGTAAGAAAATGCCGGTTCCTTCAAAGAAGCTGACCAGGCCGTATGTGCTGTGAGAGTCTCCACCCTGCTTATACTTTTGCGCGGTCTCGAAAATGACGATGGCAACCGCGTCATTCAGGATGGATTCGCCAAAGATGATGGTATAAAGCTTCGGGTCGACCTTGTACGCATTGAAAATGGCTAAAATGGTGACGGGGTCCGTCGCTGAGAGAGTGGCGCCGACTGAGATGGCATCGACAAAGGTCAAGTCTGGGGTGCCTGGCAGCAGCGCAAAAAGAAACAGGATCAGGCCGATGACAACCGCGGACAGAAAGGTTCCAGCAAAGGCAAAGGTCAGAATAATGCCTATGTTGCGGAAGAAATTGGCCTGGTGGAGCTCGTAACCCGATGCGAGAATAATCGGCGGCAGAAGGAGGTTGAAGAAGAATTGGAAATCGAAACTGATGATGGTGCGAACAGAATCGCCCGACGCAATAACAAGCCCAAGACCGACAACCATGCCTAGAATAGATCAAAGGTCAGCGCCGATGGCAACCAAGACACGACCCAGTACGGGTCCTTGTAACCTACCAGCGAAGATGGAAACGACGGTCTCGTGGATGGCGGTGATCTTCCTCTGCTGGAGAACATAACTGGCGAAGAAGGCGGCGATGAGCAGCATGATGCATATGAAGATGGCCCAGGCCTTGAATACCTCCTCCTTGGCCGAGTCGCCTCCTGCATGCGGCAGTTAGCATACATCACATAATAGCTCGCGGTGTCAGCATATGTCGAGCGCTTCGAGGCCGCTTCCATATGCATCCTCTGTGATGGACAACAATGTTCTCACACCGTTTCGCAAGTTGGCTTGAACGCACCTCCGGGATCGGAATCGTCATCTCCACGTTCTGGGAGCGCAATGTCAGCAAGCCGGTTATACACAACCTAGCGGGCGGGTTGTCGTGGCGCGCGCAGCAAAGACACGGCTCCAAGGGAGCATCGCCCGGGCTTGTCGTCGACGTACTCATCATCTGCGTGGCCATAGAGGCAATACCCTGGGCGAGCGACATGCTGACAGCTGTGATGCCGCACGGCAGCGTCGGGAGGGCTCGAGTTTCGTGTTCGTCCGCCCTGTCTGGGTTGATGAGGAAGATTCGGGGTCGAGGGGTGGTGGAGAGCGGCGAGGGAGAGGGATCGAAAGCTCTGGCGCGAGCGTCACGGCGTAGACCCGAGTGGCATGAATATCAATTGACGACGGTAATCGTCGCTGGGCGAGAAGTCGGGCGACGCGAAGGGGGCACGGGAGGTGGATGTCGTCGTCAACGGGATGACGAGTTACGACGGAGCGAGGATCATGACAAGTTGACCAAGTCTGGATGCTTGTCCGGATCCATGTCTATCTGGTAGGTGGTGGCAGGCTGTAGCGAAACAGGTGGCAGTAGCGCTAAAAGTACCTACTATTTAGTGCTAAGGGAGTAGCTCCCAGCCTTGAGGTGGGCTTGGGCTTGGGCTTGGGCCTCTTGCGGCGCGCGTCATTGTCTTGGGCGTCTCCCCAACACGGCATAGCGCCCTTTCCACTGCATGCACAGTGGTCAAGTACCTCTCTCGGTACCTCGAAGCACTGCCTTCTAGGTTGCTCAAGCTCAGCACTAACGCATTGCTGGAGGATAATCAGCTCTTCGATCCATACGCATGGCTCGACATTGTCACTGGCAAAACAGACCGTAGACGCAGACGAAACTTGCCCGAAGCAATGCAACGAAATTCAAGGCTTCTCTGACTGGCTGCACCCCTGTCCGATGAAGTCTCATGCCGGTGGACTTGACGTAGGCAGGTACGATGTCTGTACATGCCAGTCTGCGATCAGGTACATCTCTCTCCCAGGCAGCAACATCCAACTCTAATTCTAGGCCGGGACTAAGGTATCGCGGGAAGGAAACCCAAGACGTCGCATCCACGGTCTGATTGAGTTGTGCATGTTCCTTTTTCTCTGCCACGGAATCAACGAAGCCGATTGCTTTTTCTCTTCCGCTGAGGTGTGTAACATTGTGACGCAGGTCATCTGTCAGAGAGCGGAATGCATCGCCCCATGTTCTCGCTATCTGCCACCGCGGCCAATCAAGACAATGGAGGGACGCACGGGAGGAGACCCCTAAAACACGCATCAACTTGGTCTATTTGTACATTGCCGTCTCATAAGCTCCCCGCTTTATCTTCTGACAGGTGCGCCATGCTTGTGACAAAATTCACGCCCCGGATAGGATACCCTCGCGCGCCATGACACTGCACATGGCAGTCTGTTAGGGCTAGTCAGGATGTCCAAAACTTTGATGTTCCCTATTGTCAGTAAAGGTTTTGGACGTTCCGGTTTGCCTGAAAATGGTTAAGTTGATGCCACAGCTGTTTACCAAGAGCCTGTTACACAAGCCCACTAAACAGCTGTCAGCTACCTACCCGGAAGACTGTTATAATGAACATAATGTCAGAGGGCCGGGCCACGGCTACGCCACGACAGATACTTCAGGCTCGCAACAATTACTTGTCGCAGCAGCAGACAGTCAGTTCAGGTCTGCAGCGATCGCCCGTCTTGACGGAAGACAGCTGGGTCAGCTGCGCAACGATCTCCCGTCTTAATGGTAGACGGCTAGTTCAGCTACGCAGCAATCGCCTAGCATGACGAGAGGCAGATCGCCCATTATAATAGAAGACAAATAGATCGGCTACGTAGGCAGGATTTTCCATCTATCAAGGAAGCACGAGGGAGATGGTCGTCACGATCTATACCAGTCAGGCTGTTAGCATCAACAATACATCATTTTAGCTTTGACGCCTGACATCTAGCTATCCCGATGTCCAATAGCTAGATAGACGCCCTTTGCCTAGAACAGGTTCTAACCGGCGTTAAACAATCAATCAATCAATCTATCAATCAATCTATCTAGCTATCCCGAGAGAATCCTCAACAAACAAACAACACACGCTATATCTCTAGTTGGGGCTCGAGATTTGGCATAAGAGGTGGAAGAATTCCACTTCGATCTGACCAACTAAACCGCTATAAAAAGCAACCATTCGGCAGCCCGAAAAGGAATTATCTACAGCTGTCCCTTTGACCAGGCAGGCGGCCAGTTGCTCTCTAGCTGACGAATCTATCTGAGCTAGTATTACCTCACAGACAACTCGATCGTCAACAAATGAAAATCCGATCCTGACGAGTCTGTGGCCACAGACAGCCAGGTCAGTCACCTTTGAGTTGTCCGTCCGTACGGACCCAACGATAAAGATGGCTATTTCAATTGGTATTAAACGAGACCGCCCAGCACGATCAATCTGACCAGACCTTTCGTTCATCTTCTCGATCGCGAGCCCAAGGGCCCGACCCAATAGACCCGGCCGCTGCCTTCAAGCAGCATGTCCCTCTCATCAATCTTAAATATGGCGGAGCCGATGATCATCTAATTGAAATTGCTTCCATGTCGTAACATCATAATAAGCCCGAAATCCCGAGGAGAGGCCGATGTTTAGAGTATCCGGCTGACAAACCAAAAAATATATATCCGGGAGGCATCGGAAGATACAGCCAGGTCTATCCTCCACTTGTTGACCCTATACAAAGCATACTAGAAGATATTAATAGAGGCCCTAGAACATCGAATCATGGTTGTGATTCTGGCTGGTGGCGAGGTTCACCCTCGTAGAGTACTGATCAAAAATACCTTAATATTCACCTAAGATAGGTCACACACGAAGTACCTCTTAGCCTTAGGTAGTCCTCTCAGGCGGATGAAACCCTGTAAGATACAAAGTGTAGCTCCGGGTGGCTCCAAGATATACAACCCCGTGCAACGTTGCTAGACAAGTTGACGGGTTAGTATAAGGAGGGATAGTGTTAGTCGGCCCCTCTACATAGCAAGGTATGTGCCGTATGTGCCGGCAGAAAGATTACGAAAAGATACACCCACGAGGAGTCCGTTTCATATACCTAGATTAGGGACGCTTTTTGGATGAGAGGCCAACTTCGCAATGGAGGATAGTTGGATTCTTGCGCCATTCGCCACATCAATCCGAGTGCCGGAATATACGAAGATGAAAATACTCCTTAATGGATAAGCTATATACTCAAGCCTTGATGTGTTGATTGTTTACTTTGCTCCAAGGCACCAACACCTTAACGCTCCTCAATAGGGGGCCGGCAGGGAGTGAAGAGTCAGTTCGCCTGCGTTGGTCAGAGGGCTTGAATGAGACCATCTCCTAATTACAATTGTCTTTTCATTATTGAATCCTGACTATGGATCCCTGAAAGAGACCTGCATCGTAGCATAGAAAGCTTCTGTAACGCTTGATTACATATAGTATCTGAACTCGAAGGATCAGATCTAGCTCAAAACGTACTCCGCCGAGCAGGTCAGTAGGTAGTCCAGGGATCAATTTGCCGAATCTGGATAGGGAGACTGGCCAACTAGGCCTTTTTGAGGTCATCTTCTGACTGCACCCGGCAGTCGGTCTAATCACTCTCCGCTATCCCTGGAGCCACCTCAAACCTCATGAAGCAGGTTGCATGATGTAAGTGAGAGACAGTCGGTTCGCTTGACGGACACGCCTCTTCTTAGGTTACAATCTATTATAGGAAACCTAGGATTCCTAATAATAGAGGTTGGAAGAAGTATAAAAGACCTGAACACTACGGACAAACTGGCTGGACTTCTCTTCATACACAAGCAACAATATAAAACTGGTTCTTTTCAGATTCAGTGTTTATTTCCTTACTTTATCTTTTTTCCTTTACTTTTCCTATCTTCTTTTCGTTTCTAACCTACTGGTTAATTTTCAGAACTTTCTTTAAAAAAAACTTTTCTCTAAGTGGCTTTTCAAAATGGTTGCTTTCAAGAATCTCGGCTTTACAGCTCTCCTGTCGCTTGGCCTCGCCTCCCACGGCCTTGCTGCCGAGGAAGCCACCGATCTCGCCGCCCGAGGTGTAGAGCTCGATGCCACCGCCGAGCTTGTGGCCCGCTTCCCGGAGCAGGAGAGAGATGAAGAGGACGAGCTGGAGGCTCGGGACCTACTCGAGGAGGAGCCACTCTTTACTCGCGCAACAAATAAGCCCAAGGGTGGTGGCTCGCGACCTGGGACTTCGTCACCACCTACGCATAGGCGAAGGGATCTCGGGTATGATGAGGACTATCTCTTTGCTCGCGCAACAACAAATAAGCCCAAGGGTGGAGGCTCGCGACCTGGGACTTCGTCACCACCTACGCACAGGCGAAGGGATCTCTTTTCTCGCGCAACAACAAATAAGCCCAAGGGTGGTGGCTCACGACCTGGGACTTCGTCGCCACCTACGCACAGGCGAAGGGATCTCTTTTCTCGCGCAACAACAAATAAGCCCAAGGGTGGTGGCTCACGACCTGGGACTTCGTCGCCACCTACACATAGGCGAAGGGATCTCTTTGCCCGCTCATCAAATAAGCCCAAGGGAGGTGGCTCGCGACCTGGGAGCTCACCACCACCTACGCATAGAAGGGATCTCTTTGCTCGCTCAGCAACTAAGCCTAAGGGTGGTGGTTCGCGGCCTGGGAGCTCGCCACCACCTACGCATAGGCGAAGGGGCCTTGAGTATGACGATGAATAGCTCTTTGCTCGCGGGACGCCACCAGCGCCCAAGCCCGGCCCTGAGGGCAAGGGTCGAAAGTCGTGACCCTGCTTGTCATCGACTATGATCTATATTGAGACGTTCGCCCTCAAGCTTGGATATCTAGAACCGGTGTGGTGGTTGATCTCATTAGCGGCAGATCTTTGTGTGTATCATCCGGTACATATAAGGATAGGATGTCGGTTGCGGTGCCTAGTGAACGGTGGCCTGATTAGCGGGATCAAAATGTATTATTAGCTTTGGAGAAGGAAGGGTTTTTAGTCCTGAAGAAGGTTTTCCCTGAGAGGGGTAGATAGGTGAGGAGGATGTTTGAGGTTATCTATGTAACTAGAAAATACTATGTAGCTTGATACCTAGCTAGAGCTTAGCTAGTGTAAATAAACGAGAGGACAGTTATATAGCTTTGGAGAGTTTTACTTCGAGAGAACATCTTTTTGAATAGTATAACTTGGTTATGTTTCACCTATCTAGTACGGAACCAATAGAGCCGATTGCTATTCCTCCTATATAGGTACTCAGACACTTTCACCAATGTGTGTAACATTACAACGCAGGCCATCTGCCAGAGAGCGGAATGCATCACCCCATGTTCTCACGATCGCTACCTCTCGTAGGCACGGTTTGTGGTCTATTCCTACCTGACAGCCTCATGAGTACCCCCGTTTCATCCTCTAACAGGTACGCCATGCTTGTGACGATAATTCAGGCCCTGGATGAGATAGTAGAGCGTACTCAGCCGCGGCGTCTCTACCCCATGTTGGCTCCCTATCCGCACCACATTTCCGATGATGGCATCGGCCTCCATCTGCCGCCCAGCCATCGCATCGGCCATCATGCTTGGCTCGACGCCCGGGAACGGCCGGCCTGTCATCACATCCAGCTGCTCCTGCACAACTTGGTCGGTGATGGCGGGATACCCGGCGGCCCGAGCCACGGACGCAATCTCCTCCATGACATCGCGGGTGAACTGGGTCGCGCCGGGACTGCTCTGGAAGAAAGCCACGTCTGGGAGCTGAACGAGGGCGCAGATTGGGTTTTCGGACCCGTTCACCAACATCTTCCTCCATCGGCACGGCTGGACGTCATCAAACACCGTCGCCTTGGCTCCACTCAAACTTAGGATGTCGCTCAGGCCCTTTGCCATCAAGCGATGCTGCTCAGGCGCATTGTGCGGAAACGTCCCGATCTGGAATACGTGGTAGAGCACGTGGGAGAACACTCCGGGCTGCGTCTGTGTGACGGGCAGGTACATGACCACGCTGATGACGGGGTTGTCTGGGAACCTGGCATGCCACGGGTCTTCAATGCCCACGCCGTTCTGCATGAGCACAATGGCCGTCGTAGAGGAGATGGCCGGTGCCACAGCCTCGGTGTCTGTGTCCTCCTTGGACTGCGCCTTTGTCGTGATGAAGACATAGTCATATGCGAAGCCCTGCTCGGCTACAGCAGCGTCGACTGACTGGAACACGGCAGGTCGCACGTTCAATCGCGAGCCCCAAAGACCCGAGTTGATTGTGATGCCATTTTCTTTGGTCTCGCTGTAGTTGGACCGGCAGATGAGGGCGATGCGTTCTGGGCTCAGTTTCTGGGAGAGAAGGTAGGCCGATACCGCTCCGATGCACCCTCCGCCGTAGACGAGTGCAGAGGACATGTCTCCAATGGCTAAAAATGTGATTATCAATTAAGGGAATGACCAATTAGCACGAATTCTTGTCAATTGAATGGCCGGCTAATGCCACGAGGTTTTAAGGGGCGCCGAATTCCAAGTATTCATGTTTGTGCACACTCATTCAATTGACAAGTACCAAGGCGCGCCCTAATTGTAGTCGAATTGCGGGGCTCTAGATCTTGCTAAACTGAAGGACAACTAATAATTAACTAGATCGGCTTTCCCTCAAGTGTAGTTTGCAATTACGGTATGGGGAGAACGTATTCAAGGTCGCTAGGTACTCTCAAAAGACAACTGTCGGCGGCCACCATGATAGCCAACAAAGAAGGTTGATGACTCACGGCACCTTTTCTGCAATCGACAGCGGCTCGAACATTCAACAATACTTTGATTATGGCTGCAATCAATTCAATCCTCTTACTGAATCAAGAGGTCTCTTGATACAGGGTAATAGCAGAGAAAGTAGCGTGCATAATGTATGAGCTGCATCGTGACAACCTAATGACTTGTTGAGACAGTTCTACTCCGGACGGATTTCACGATCACTGAAGTTCGGGCAGATTGCTGCTTTTCCCTTGCATCGGCAATGCAAGCCGATAGAGAATGGAGTTATATCATAGGGAGCTATATACAAGGGATTCTGCTATAGCCAGGGTGCCGGCATGCCAGGGTCTTTCCGCCCAGGAACCCTCCGTACTCATGACAGATTCATCTCCTGGTCTACCCCTTTGCTCAGATAATGTATGTACAAGACCCCAAACGTTTCTAGGAGGCGAGCTAGAGGTTCGATCCACGCACCACGAAGATTTGTTGTAGGGCCAATGTTGAGATATGGACGAGTGATGATGTTATTTAGGTGGCCAAGGAGAGCGAAGACTTCAAAAAGAGATGGCGACTGTGCCACCATCGATTCACATGATTTCATCCAACGAACACGTAAGGTAGGATAAGAAAAATAGGAACAACACTTTATTTTAACCATGCCAATTAAAATGACTGTTGGGCAGTCTCTCCGAGAAATACTCGCGTAATTATAAGTGCGCCAGGCCTCGAATTTGTACGAGGGCTTCCGTGTCTATGAGATCTTTGTCTACTTCGCCGTCTGCTGGGGGGTCTATTCCATTATTGGGTCCCCATTTTGCAGTCCGGGCAGGTTTGTGGGGGTCATCAATTTGGCCGCTCAGGGGCCGTGGTTCGTTTTTTTTTCGTCTGTTGCTAAGAATCGCATGATTCTCTGGCTGGGGTGCGGGTGTGGGATTGTTCGAATATATGGCCCATCACATGACTGGCCATGTTCCAACGTCCTGGAAAAAAATTACCACTTTCTCTCCTGGAAAGTCAAAGGGCAATCGTCCTAAAAAAACATGCCTTGTTAGCATATCCTGCGAATTTGCGACAAAATTCCAATTAATTCTTCACTTTGACATACCTTAGGGAAGATGGTGGCAAACACCTTGATCTCCTCGGAGAGCGGGGTAGGATGGTGCTTCCAGTCGAGCAGAAGCGACGCCTTTCCAACGAACAGAACCAAGTTGAGCTGAGCGTAGTGCTGTCCGAGGCACACGTGAGGTCCGGTTCCGAAAACGAGGAAGTTCTTCACACCCTTGGCCTCGGCGTCACCAGTGTAGTAACGCTCGGGGTCGAAAACATCGGGCTTGTCGTAGACTTCGGGGTCACGGAGTGCGAGGTAGGTGGTGGGGATAATCATAGCGCCTGTGTCGCGTGGTTAGCAGAGAGCAGCGCACAATTGGCAACCCAGTGTCTGACGACTTACCCTTGGGGACAGTGTATGAATCGGTGATGGGGAAGGGCTTCTTGACTTCATAGGGAACCATCAGAACAGGAGGACGGTAGCGGAGAAGTTCACGAATGACGGCACGGGTGTAGGTCATCGACTCAAGCTGGTCCAGGTCAACAGCGGCGTGGATATCACCATTGCGGACCTTGAGATTCTCCTCGCGCACACGATCGAGAACATCAGGTCGCTGAGCCATGATCTGGAACAGCCAAGTCGCGGCGCTACTGGTGGCATCCTGGGAGGCGAAGAGGAAGGTGAAAATGGTCTGGGCGATCTCATAATCACTGAATTCGCGGAGCAGAGGGGATGGCTTCTCGATGTTCTCAGTTGGCAGGCCCTTGGCGTCAGCCTCGGTCCACTTCTTGGACAGCAGCATATTCTTGATCCAGGCATCCATGATACAGTTGGGCTCGCCGCCAGCCGCAAGACGGGCCTTGCTCTTGGCGGATGCCTTGGAGAACTCGGCGAGAACCATGTCACTGGCTTTCTTGCCATACCAGGTCTTGGTGAAGGGGAGGATGATGGGGAAGTTGACAAGCTCGAGGGCCTCGGTGATCAGGTAGTAGTCGTCGGCGATCTTCTTGACTGACTCGTCGGAAATGTAATGTCCACAGAAGGTTCGGAGAGAGACGGCGCACATGATCTCGCGGAATTCACTCATGAAAGGAACAGGCTTGTTATCGGCCTCCTTCGTGACACGGAGGAAACGGTCGAAGTAACGGTTGTACAGGTCCTCCTGGCCGGGGAGATAGGACTGGAGGGCTCGGCGGGTGAAGAGACCGTTGAGGCCCTTGCGAAAATCGACGTGGGCCTTTCCGTCGAGGAACACCCAGTTGTCGTCACCGAGGAGCTTGTGGGCGACATCGACGACGCAAGGCTTAACGAAACCGGGGGAGTTGAAGACCTTCCTGGCCATATCGCGAGTGGACGCAATGACGACAAACCTAGTTGATTGCTTCTGTCAGCTGTGCGCGCTCCAATGGGCCGTAGTTTGGGGCGACATACTTGTGGAAGACAGAGACGCAGCTCAAGGGACCGCTCTTCCATTTGGCATAGTACTCTTCGAATTTGGGGTTCACGGATTGCAGGAAAGGGCCAATAAAGGGCTCCTTGAATGCTGGGCCAACAATGCTGCCCTTGTTCAGAAGGTAGCTAACTGCAGGAGTCAATTCGGGTCAGCGCGCAAATTCGACCGGATGAGTACGGCAGTATGAGCAAGGGATTCCTGCCTACTCTGATCGTAGGCCACGAGGACGGCCAGAACGGAAAAGGCGATGGGCCAGAACCCGAAGCTGCTGATGACATCGACAATGGACTCAATTTGGGGAGGAATCGAGAATTGGGTCCCCGACACCCCGGCGAGCGGCGAGGCGAAGCTGGTGTTGGCGGCCATGATGAACGAGGGCGCGGTCTGCGGACAGGAAACGAAAGTGGCCAGCTACGAAGAGCTCTTATCGTCGACCAGGCCAGTGAGGGTTACCGCTGGGTGTCGAAAGGTGATGCGCAAGGAGC